TTCAATCTTTAGTAGCATATCAAAATAAAGAAGAAGAAAGAAAGAAAGAAAGAAAGAAAGAAAGAAAGAAAGAAAGAAAGAAAGAAAGAGAAGAAGGATGAGGAAGAGAAGGAGGAGGGTGAAGAGAAGAAAGAAGGAGGAGGAGGAAAGGAGAAGGAGGAGGAAAGGTGGACCAAGTAGAGTATGTCTAAATCAAATGACTAGTTGATCCACACGATACCATTTTCTGAGATTGAGAGAACACAGTGGTGCATCTCTACTGAGAAGAGAACCTGGGGTCTGAGCCTAATTTTGGTCAAGCACTTGGATTCCTGCGGCCAATTTATCAAAGCTTATCTGGCTTACCTTCTCCATGGTTTGCTTGAAGCAGCTGGAGGTAGTTTCTTTCACCATGTTGAAGAAGACCTGTCTGTCTTCCATATCTACCAGCCGGTCATAAAAGACACGATAAACCTCATGGATCCAAAGGCGGATAAATTTTTCCACATCCTAGAAATCCAGAATTAATTATTTGAATGAATGAAATATGATGCCCCAAATGGCAGTTCTCAAGCTGCCCATGTCTAAACTTTGGGGGTGAGTCGAGGAACAAATAAGGTAACTCTGGCAAAGACTTTGCATGACACCCAGCACAAATTAAACACTTAGTAAGCGCCACAACTACTATCATTGAATACACAAGGGTATTGCTGTAACTGGAAGGAGAGTGGCTGACCTGCAGGTGGGTGTGAGGGCAGAGTAGTACTCCCTGGATCACTCGTGAAAAGTCTCTCAGGTTAAAGACATAATGTGACTTGGAGGGAGTTGGCAAAAAGTTCTCTACTGCAGCTCTATAAATTATCTTGGTAGCTTGTACCATCATCTTTCCATACCTTGGGAGAAAGAAAAAGACAGATGAGTCAAAAATGGGCCAGAAATGGGGACCCTCAGGCCAATATCTAGTAAGATGCAAGAAGCTCTTACCTTAAGAATATCACATCAAACCCTTTCCCAAAGTGCCAGTCAGCAATAGAAGAGAAGATCTTAGTTAAAGTATCATCCTCAAAGGCACTGATGGAAATGACATTCAGATGGCGAGTGAATCGTCCTGGAAAACACATACACGTTCAGGTTGGCACGCGCGTGTGTGTGTGTGTGTGTGTGTGTGTGTGTGTGTGTGTATGCAGATACACAGATACAGACTACTACCATAATTACAGAAGTCCTGTACAGTACAGTCTTGTGTTTAAGATCATCTTTAAATGCAGAGGCAAGACACAGAATAGGAAATTACAAAATAGGAAAAAACTTCCTAAATAGTTTTATACTTTAGTGTCATCAAGAACATTAACATCATTGTACAGCCATCAACTCCATCCATTCTCAGGACTTTCTAATTTTCCTCAAATGAAGTTTATTTAAAACCAAGTCTTCATTTCTCCCTCCTTCCAGATTCTGGCAGTCACCTTCTACTCTGTTTGTATGAATTTGACTACTTTAAACATATAAGTGGAATCATAGAATATTGTTCTTTTGTGACCAGCTTATTTCATTTAACCTAATGTCAGAATTCATCCACAATGCAGTATGTCTTTATTTATATTTTGATTTGTTAAAAATCTCATCCTTTAACATTTTTTTCAGAATTTGTAGATAGGGAAGAAATTGTCTGTCTGTCTGTCTGTCTGTCTATCTGTCTATCTATCACCTACCTATCATCGTCTTTCTATCATTATCTACCTATTTGCTATATTATCATTCATTCTGCTAAGTTACTCTGAGTAAAGATGCCTCTGCATGCACCTTTGATTGACCTCAGATCTAGCCTGTTCCCTAGAACACAAACCTGCTACATGTAGCCACCCCTTGATAGGACATTCACTTTTTTTCCTTGTACCTAGCCAATATGAAGTCTGGCACTAACTTAAATGCTTCTAGCCATATCGTACACACATGGCTGCATGCCATCTCAGCTTAGTGTTCTGAACCACCCCTCCATTCCTGCAGGCCAGCTATTCTGACTGAGGGAGAGGCTAGGTTCTCCCTTTCACATACCAGTGATGTCATTTCTTCCTCCTCCAGGGGGACCCATGGCTGTCACAAGTAGCACATCCACAATGTCCAGTCTGCTTGTGTCCTTCTTGTCAAACCAGTAACCATGATCAATCCACTGCCTCAGGAGTTCAATGGGGGGTTGGGCCCCATAAACCTCTTTGGCTGGCATGTTGAGGTCATCTGTGAAAAGCAGCCACAGCCACACATTGTAAGTCCATGGGGTCTGTTCTCACAGGAGGTAACGTGAGTATTCTCTCTGCATGGATGTCTCAGCCCATTTGGTGAAAGGTTCAGTCACTAGATAGTCTGGCCAGATGGGGAGAGTTTTTCTGGGTCCTGGGCTCTCTTGTCTTATTGAGACCTTTGCTCATTATGATCATAGGGTGCATGGGCCAGCATCAGTGGTCAGGCATTTAATTTTTTCTCATTTCCTTCAACCAAAAGTGTATTGATGCCTATACTCTGTTAGACATTTTGCTAATTGCTAGAGATGCATGGCAGTGAAAGAGATTCTTTTTAAAAAAAAATGGAGATCTTTCTGTTACCCAGCCCAGCCTCAAACTCCTGGGCTCATTCAAGAATTCCTTCTGCCTCCCCATCTCAAGTAGCACATGGTACAGGGACTCACAAATGTGATATGGGGTTCACATTGCATCTGTGTTATGAGTGTTAGTGGTTCTGGAGATTGAACCCAAGACTTCATATATATAAAGCAGTTTTACTATTGAGTGACACCTCTAGCCCCTTTTTTACTTTTTAAAATTTTAAGACAGAGTCTCCCTAGGGGATCCAGGCTGGCCTTGAATTTGGGAACCTGCTGATAATGTATTCATCTAGCACAAAATAAGACAAGGGGCTTATCACCAGGAATGTGTTGCTCCTGGAGATGTCAAAGGCAAAGCACCAGAGTCAGCTAGAGCTGCTCCACATAAGAAGGAAAGAAGGGAAGGAGGAAGAGAGGAAAGAAGAGGAGGGAAACATGGAGGGAAGGACAGAGGAAAAGGAGGGAGGAAAGGAAGGTGGTGAGAGAAGAGGAGGGGAGGGAAGGGGTACTGTGTTACATTAACCACAAATATTTGCTTTCTTAGAAGAGTAAAAGGACTGAATGGTGGCCCTACAAAGGGAAGCTCTGGTTTGCCATAGAGTAAAAAAACCGAGTTGTGTCCAGACATAGGACAATGCCTTACCCACAAATACCACTGATTTCCTCCCCATAGGAGGCCCAAAAAGTCCCTTCCGTCTTCGATCCAGCTTGGACATGATGATGTCCTGGGTCTGATTGGCTGAAGTCCTGGCAGAGAAATTAATGCAATTGGGCACGTAGATGTTTTTGGGAAGATGGAGAAGGAAGTTGTTGGTGATGGCTGATTTTCCAGTGCCTGTGGGACCCACAAACAGCACTGGGATCTCATGGTCCAGGAAGGTTTTCAAGAAGAAGGACTGCCGGGCCGTCTCCATTGTGGGGATGATGAGTTCTGAGACCTGTACCACAGAGACACAGGGAAATCTTGGTCCTGGGCCTGGGTGCTGGGCCTGGGTCTTGGCATTCAAGGCTTAGGGTCTGAATTGTAGTTCTAATCCTTACTATCTTTATGACCTTGAGTGAGTTTTTAATTTTGTAGGGCACTCAGTTTCTTCCTCTGTGAAGTGGGAATCATAATGCAGGACACACATAGAGTTGGTATGAGATTAAATGAGACTTTGTAAATGCGGGTACTACTGTCTGTTCTGTAGTGGAGGAAACTCCCTATACAGCCCAGGTAGTGACCTCGAGGCTGTCCTCCTGCCTCAGTCCTCTGAATCCTGGGATCACAGTTGTGCGCCATATGCTCAGCAACCCCCTGAGCATTGCTGATAACCGATCAGCAACAGACATCAATCTGAGCCTGAGTATGTGTGTAATGCCCATAACTTCAACCTTTGAAATGATCCTGCACATAAGTTTTCTATCATTTTGTGGTTGAATAAACTAAGGTACAGAATAAAGAATCTAGATCTCCCTGATTCTAAAGTTTATGCTTTGGAAGGGTCAGCGCAGCTCATATTTAAGTCATTTTCTAAGAAAGCTCTTTAAAATGCTCATGTCTTGGCTTAGCTCAGTGGTAGAGCACTTGCCTAGCATGAGCAAGGCCCTGGGTTCCATCTCTAGCATAGCAAGAAAGGAAAAAGAAAAAAGTAGTTTTAGAAAACATAATCTAGCAGATATTTGGAAAGATTCTCACCCTGACTAACTATATATACTGATACCTGTGAACTAAGCTACTGCACTGCAGATGGTAATTTGCAATAGTAGTTTCTTGCTTGGAGTGCCTGTTATTCTGGTCTTCTGACAATGGGCTGCTTGTCATGACATGCCAGTTGCTGCTATGATGGCTCTCAGGTTGATGGTTGTTCAAGAAGAAGAGGGTGGTGAAAGAAAGCAAGAGACAGGAAAAGGAATATTGTGGGACTGGCCTGCTTCAAGGTTGTACATGGTGAGATTTTTGGACTTATGTGCAAACATGAGAAGCATATAATTCTTTATGCCTATTTTTAAAATATATTCTAATTTTTAAATGTTTTTTATCACATTCTGTAGGGACTTAAAGTTCAACATATCAATACTTGATGAAAAATACCTGTTCCATATCATGCCTAAGATGTTTGATATGCAGACAGATAGTGAGGTTAAGCTTAACAGCCTAGGTTGTATGGTAATAACAATAAACTTCTCTTCTGGAGGGTTAACAACCTAAGTTTGCAGACCAAAAGTAGAGAAAAAGGAGGGCTGCAAGGAAAGCCAACATTTTGGCCCTAGCCTTCCAAGGTCAATTAAGACTCAGGACATATGAGAACTTGTACTGTAACGTCATGTAACTCGGTAGTGTCCCAAATTTTCTGATCAAGGAGATTATGGGGCCAAAGAGGAAAGTGATTGATGATGTAGAGTGTGCCTAAGGAGAGTCACATGGAGAGAAAACATTCTCTCAGGCTTTCACAGAGAGCACATTGGCCAAGCAAGGGCTGTGACTCATCCACATGGCTGACACTGACAAAGGTTCTACAATCTGAGGTACAGGATCTCAGGATAAATCCTGAGGGGATTTCACTGACCTTCTCAGACCCAAAAGCTACAACTCTTGTTGCATAGGTCCTGCTTTACCTTGGTCTTAGCCATCCAGCAGAAAAGTATGAAGATGAAATATAGGAAGGAAAGCCATGCTGCTATGTTGAGCTGTGGGGGACTCAGGTCAACAATTTCTGACATTGCCAGTTAAGTGGAAGACCCAATACTATTATGGGCTACTGGACTCTTTTAGAATATTTTGCTGAGTTTACACACCTATAATATTCAAATAACGGAACTTAACAAAAAAAGGGATACAGATGAATGTCCATTTTGTATCTGTGTATTCAAAGTGGTTAGGATAGATATATAGTTACATTCTCTTAATGAATAGAATGATTTGTTTTAATGGTGTTTGTAAATAGGATATCAAGTCCGCGTCTTGTACAGCAATTAACCACTAAGAAGAAAGTATGCAGTGTATTAATTATTGAAACTGTCCTAATGATTTGATTTGAAACTGTCTCATTGCTATTTGTTTATTAATAAAATTATGGCAAAAAAAAAAAAAAAGAAAACAGTTCCATGCCACTGTTTCTCTCTCACCTTTGCATTAGCAGGGATGTTTTCCTCTTCTTTGGTGATATACTCTGTCCATAGGTCCCAATGTCCACTACCATGTTTGACAAAAAAAAAGTCATAGATGCTTGCTAGACCAAAAGAAATAGAATAGGTCATCAGCATACCAATTTACACTGCGTACTTGACATAATTGACTACCTTAACTATCAGTATCCAAATTATATAGCTGGTCTAGTTGTGAAATTTTGCTGATAACATAAACAAAAGCAACACTTTTTAAAGAGCAATGAGAAATGCTGATCATGTTATTAAATTCTTTTTAATAATGTAGAGAATAGGACTAAAAAGAATTTTAAAAAGAAAAGGAATAAATCACTCCAAAACAAGGCATGGTGGTGCAACCTCTAGTCCCAGCACTCAGCATGCTGACACAGGAGGACTGCAGTGAGTCAAGGCCAGCCTGGACTGCAGTGAGGTCAAGGCCAGCTTGAACTGTATAGCGAGACCCTGTCTCAAAAAACAAAACAAAGCAATTCTTCCAAATTCCACATGCAGAAATAACTTCTGATGGCAGTCCTTCCTCTCTACCTCCTAAGCACTCTGCCATATTGAAGATGGAGGGACAGACAGATGGCAAAGCATTTTATAAGTGAGGGATCATCTGACATATATAATATAATATAATATAGCATGTTTATTTATTGTTTCTTTGAGACACAATTTTCCTATGCAGTTTAGGCCTAGAACCCACTTTGTAGCCCAGACTGACCCCAAATTCAAAGTGATTCTCCTGCTTCAGCCTCCCAAGACATTTTAAAAAGGTGATTCTTTTTTTTTAAAGTTGATTCTTAATTTAAATTAGTCTTAGATCTATATACTATTTAAAAATTCAATTCTCAGACTTGCACCTTTTAGCATAAAACATTTTAGGATTTCTTTGATTTGATTCATTCCCTATTTGGTTGGTTTCATTTTTTCTTAAGAAGAGGGATGTGGGTGATGTATTCTCTCAGTTTGTGCATGTTTGAGAATTCTGTCTGCTGCTTTAACAGGTTTGACTGAGAATAACATATTTTGAAGACATTTCTTTATTCTGATTTTTGTATTTTAAGTTTCTGGGCAGTCGCTGAGGCCTTTCAATATTTTTTCCTACTGAATTTTTCTTTTTAAATAAACTAGTTGCCTGTTGGAATCTCTTTTCTGAATTTAGAAGTCTAATAATTTAGAAGTTATATTTTTGGTCAGTTATTCTCTACTAGTTTTTCTTGGAACACATCATACTCATAATTTATAGAACATTTTTAAGGAAAAATTTTTGCATTTATATCTGCATATATTGTTTATAGTATTTACTGGGTTTCCTACTTGAAGGACTAACATCTTGTGGTCTTTATGTCAACCATGTTGTCTATAATTGCTTCAGCATCTTTCTCTTCTACAGTATATATAATTTTTTACAAATTTTTCCTTTAAGACATTTAATATAAGTCTAACCCTATATACTTTCTTCCTCATTGGTTCTAATTCAATTATCAGGCCTTTAATGGTTTTATTTGGCTCTTAGTTTGTTTCATTAATTCTTTTATTCTTTAATCTCTTTCATAACCCCAGTTATAAACTTTTTAGAGTTTCATTGAAACTCTAAAAATACTATATAATTCAGCCATCTTAATAATAGCTTACAATTCAACAGCTGACTAACCTGTTCTATACAGTTCATGTAAGTGAGCTCATATGGTATGTGCTTTTTTGTCACTAGCTTCTTTCTAATGTTTTTAAGACCCATCCATGTTGTAGCCGTACAAAGCACTGCATTTCCTTTTATGGATGAAAATATTCTATTATATAGATTAGATATATCATATTTTATTTAACCATCAGTTGATGGACATTTGGCTTGGACTTAATGTTTCTCTTTTTGTTTCATTTGTTTGGTTTTGTTTTGCAGCATCAGTGGTTGAAACTATAGTCTTGCATACGCTAGGTAAGAGCTCAACAGCTGAGATACCTTTTTATTTTTTACTTTGAGACAGGGTCTCACTAAGTTGCCCAGGTAGCCTTTGCAATCCTCCTGCTTTAGCCTCCTAAGTAGCTGGAATTAAAAACACCTATCTTTAAAAAAAAAAAAAAACCAGTATCCCATACTGTTCAACAGAAATATTTTATTCTGCCTAGTTTCTATTTCTCTTTTCACTCTATCTGTGCAGTTGTCCTACACCATTGCTCTGATGTAGTCAGGAATTCTTCTTAAATTTACACAATATTATCTCTGGTCAATGTATCTTACCCACTTTCTTAACCATTCAAGGATTGGTGAGTGGCTCTTTCTTCATATTCTGAGGCTATAAGGGTTGGATAAAGGGGAAAAAATCAGTTGTCCTTAGGAAATTCTGAGGAGATCTGGGTTCTGCACTCTGTTCCTGAAGTTAGAATGGCTCTCTTGAAACATGAACCCATTTCACTCCCAACAGTAGCTAGTAATAGGCCGCACGCTTGTGGGATCCAGCTCACATGCCCAGCCAGCACGGAATTCTGCAAACTCTGGCAGTTTCCCTCCCTGCTAATGTTCATTAGCAGCTTAGAGAGACCTCAGTGATTTAAGATTCTCTTAGACCTTTCTGCAGCTGCACAGCCATCACGAGTTCACTTTCCTTTACACTGGTGAGTACCAGTGAGCTCTGGCTTTGCGCAATCCACCTGCTTTTCTATCTGCAGTACCATCAGTAGCTTTGTACTGAGAGATGCACCATACTAGAAACTTAGGTTGCTTTTTTGTCCACGACATTCCAATCTTTATAGAATGAAGTTGTGATTCTTTTATGGTTATTGTTGGGGCAATCTTAGGATTTAAAATATTTATGTTAATTTCATTAAACTTTAAAAGATAGGATCTTCTTTTATCAAATGTCACCTTGCAACTTTGCCTACACTTCAGTTTGGTGCTACACTTTTATTTATTTACTTAATTATTATTACTTTTTGCCAGCTCATCCCCCTTGAGGGTGGGGCTGGCATGGCATGTGGTGCCAGGGATCGAACTGCAGTCCCCCGTGCCTGCCTAAGCTCGCCCAAGCAGATGCTTGAGACTGCTGAGCCATCTTGCTGGCCCTGGCGCAACATTTTCAGAAGATGATCTGGCACTATATTTCTAGAGTTAACAAATGTTCTCTAAGTCAGAAATCCCATTTATGGGAGTTTGTCATAGGAAATAATTGACAAAAATCTACATACATGAATATGCAACACCACCTATAATAGCAATTAAATAACTTATATTCCTGCATAGGAGACCAGTAAAAATTATGTCTTACAAAATAGATGGAATGTTTTTGTCATTAACATGATAGTTGCAAAAAAAAAAGATAGTTTCAGGGCCAGCAGAATAGCTCAGTGGATTGAAGCACATGCAAGCAGGTGCAAGGGCCAGGGTTTGATCCCTGGGCCTGCCATGCCGGCCCTGCCCTTGGGGTGTGCTGAGATAGCAATTGAGACTGGGCGTGGTGGTGCCCACCTGTAACCCCAGCACTTGGGAGGCTATAAACAGGTGGATCACTAGTAGTGAGATCCTGAACACCCTACACCCTGTAGACCCTTCCCTAAAAAATAAAAAATAAAAAAAAGATAGTTTACAGAAACTAAGTATCAGCATTGGAAGTGTTTTAAAGAAACAATGATACATGGAAAAGAATAAAAATGAATATATACTATTATGAAAGTTATATAAAAAGATGAAAACATAAATAAACAAGTGTAAAAATATTCAATTATCTAAAGAGAGTATAAAATAGTAAATAAAAAATTAGAAATGATTCAGAACTTCACCACATAAAACAATAGGAATTTGATAATTATTGCTGTATTTTTTTTGAAATGTATCAGTTCTTTAATTAGGTTCTTAGTGAGAAATTTAGAACACTAATTTATGAGGATAAATTCCACTTGTCAGAGCAAAAGTGGATCACAGGTAGCCCCGGAGCTGAGGAACAGCTTTGATTTTTGCTAAAATCTGAGTCCACCACTTTCTGATCCACCTTGCGCTGCTCTGAAATCTGATGTCTCTCTTTGTTGGTGTCAAAGATCTTGCCCTCCTGGTGTCTGGGCTTCCGTTGATTTCTTGTGTGTTCTTCATAGAGGAACACAAGGCTAAGAGGCCCAGTCACAACAAGCCACTGGCTAACTGCGTCAGGAAGACCATGCTCTTGCCTTTGTGGTGCCCAGCAAGGATGATCAAGATGGTGCCAGGAGTGATGCTAGCTCGAAGTTTCCTCACATGCTGACTGAAGTGTTTCTTGCCATGACTCAAGAGGTTTTGGGGCACATCTTCAGTAGGGCAGTATCTAGGCATTTTTAAAGCTTAGCCACCCAGGTACCTCCATTCTTGTCCTCACCGAATGGTTTTGTGATTGTAGCAAGAACTTTCTCCTTCTTTTCTTCTCAACTTAGCAGCTGTTACTTTCTCTTGTACAAGGCCTTTCTGGAATACATAGCAGATCGGGAGTATCTACCAATTCCTCTCACCAGGACAGGATTTCAGCTGCAGGGGTCTGCCCCTTCTTGGACGTTTTTGCCTTCTTCACCTTACCCTTTTTACCAGTGCCACTGGCAGAAGACTTCTTGGCTTCGGTTTCTTCTCTTTAGTGTCTGGCTTCTCCGTTTTTTCACCCACTATCTTGCAAAATGGGAAAGCAATTGTTGCTGTATTGCATAAAGTTGTCCTCAAATTAGTTGTTTAGATTGCCAGACATAAGCATGCAAAATTGGTAAAAGAAAAAATTATAAGGAATTTAAAAGGACAAGAAAATTTAGGCATTAACTGCTTCCCTCTGTAGACCAACAGGAATCAGTAGCACAATTATCCAAGACATCCTGCATAATACATAGAAATGTCTCTTCCCCATACCCTCCTGTCCTTTTCCTCATCCGAGTTTTTCCTTCCCTTTGAACAGATTCTTTCCCTTTCACAGTACCTACTGTGTTTTTGGTATTTTATTTACTCTTTTAGGTTCTTACACTAGCAAGAAAATACTGCACACATGCAGGTCTGACCTATTTCACTTATGAGTGTGGTCTCTAGTTGTGTCCATTTACCTAAAAAAGCCTCAAGCTTGTCTTTCTTTATAGCTGAGTA